TCCCTTCCCCTTGGATCGAATTTCCTTTGCGGGATGTGGTTTGCCACACATCGCATGTGCTTCGCAGGACCTGTTCGACCGGCCCAACTTTGAGTTCGTCCGTCACGACATCACGGAGCCATTCCGGGCAGAGGTGGACCAGATCTACAACATGGCGTGCCCGGCCTCTCCGGTGCACTACCAGTACAACCCCATCAAGACCACCAAGGTGCGTATACCGTCGTACCGCGTGAAGGGCGTATTCAAGGAGTGTGAGTCAATGTTCTGTTGTAGGGCCATACTACCGAGTCTTTTGTGTTTCGCTCTTGGCCACGACCAACCCACGGCATTTTCATTGTACTGCACTGGAGAGAGGTTTCCCTTGCGTGCGTGTGCGTGTCAGATGTTAGCTTGTTGATTGATCACCCGGAGCTGCTCCTCTTGCATGCTCACGATGATTCGCTTCCACCCCGTTCACCATGCTCTTGTCGCATAGGTGAGTGTGTTGTGCGGACTCCGCTGTTCTCGAGGGCTGTGTCCACCGGACGCTTGTTGTCATGCGGGGTTCCTGTCCTTTCCGCCTGGCGTGGACCGCGCTAACACCATGCAACCGATTCGCGTGTACGATTTCGTGCTTGGAATTCAACACAGGTGTCCTTTTTCGGAGCGATGAACATGCTAGGGCTGGCGAAGCGAGTAAACGCCCGCATCCTCCAGGCGTCCACTAGCGAGGTAGGCAGCCAACCGTATGTATAGCCACCGATCGGGTACGCGATGGGAATGACTGTCGGGAATGTGCCACACGTGGCACTGTAGAAACGTAGAGCGTCTCTTGTGTATGTGTAACAACCAGCCGGAAATTGACTGCGCCTGTTGCACCGCTGTCGGAACGCATCCTTGTAGCACACCTTCTTGTAGGTTCCGCGAGTTCAGCTTGTGGCGCAGCAGGTTGTGACGTCATGGTTCGATTTGAGTGTCGTGTCCGTCTGCTCGCTTGATCGTGAGTTGCCTGCTCCAACCTGTGGTGCAAAGTTGCAGGGGCACTCTGCCGTCCGACTAAACTTCGTACATGTTCCATGCTCTTCTTGCGGCGGTGTAAGGGCTCCCCTATCCTCTCCTTGGTATTGTCTTAGCCGTCCCCATTTCCGGCTTGTGCCTTCCCCAGGTGTACGGGGATGCGCAGGAGAGC